GGCAGAATGCTTTCGCTTTTGAGTAGGGGCAGACAAATCCGATTCATCCGAAGACTCCCAGTCTTTCTCGGAGGTGGTGACTTTATGAGGTTTAGAAACTATCGAGAAAGGAAAACAGTTAGATTACAATTTAAAGAAAATTAAAAATACTCCTAAAAAAGGCAGTAAAATCTCACCAAAAGGTGATGAAGTTAAAATCTTGACTCGGTCGATATGGACAAGCCAGGGAGGAAGAAGATTTTGAGGAAGGTTTAGGTAAGAGAAGTAGGACAATTTCGATATCAAAATCTCCTTATTCTTGGGTTTGGGTGAAATAGTTTCTTTCAAAGATCTTAACTCTCGAACCCATTTATGATGAGTTAAAGGTTTGGCGAGTCCAAAGGGAGCTGTAGGGAAAGTGGGAAGATGGTTAGGACAATACATTTCAAACGGAGTTTTTCCTCGAGGATTGATTATTTTGTGGTTTGATCGGTTGGTGTCTGTTTTATTAACTAGGGAGATAACAACATTGTAAAAGGTTTCTTCTAATTTGAGGGGGTTGTAGCATTCTCGATAAAAATTTTCGAATCGAGATATTTGGAGATAATGAGAGTATGTACCTTTCTTTGCCTTCGATTTATCCTGCAATACGAGAGAAGGATGCGCAGTCAATTTCGATTGGACGATATCAAAATTAGAATGAATGCGTGAAAACCAATCGTTCCACCATTGAGAAAAACCAAGAGTAGACAGATAATTCGACTCAAAAGTATAAGGATAGAAATGCATCGGGCTTTGCGGTAACAGTTTGGCAAGTTCCCGTCCAACATTTGATTCATTTAATTTTGACCTTGGGGAAGCATCGAGAGAGAAAAAAGGTAAAGTCTAACTTAAACCAAACTGCCGCGAAAAAAGCTGGGGATAATAGATGACGAGCTGGATATCCTTCGATTGAAAATCCGATACAAGAACATCCTGGGTCAAGTAATTACTCCACACATCTACTAATTCCGATTGCAACCCTGGAGTAAGAGCGGGGAATTTCGATTTAAACCAAGTTGGCCCTCGAAGTCTGTCACTAATTTTTCCATGATATACGGTAAAATGGGCCAAATTTGACTCAAAATGAAATCAGGTCAACAAAAATTTTAGGTAAGCTCGATAACTAGCCTCGTCAGAGGATTTTTGATGAGGATGGCGAGATGATAATCGAGCGCCTTCCAAATTTAAACTTGGGGAAATTTTGGATGTTGGGGGAAGGATGCTTTCAAAGATCGAAGTAAGCCATAATTGAACAAATCAGATGGGGCCCGAGAAATTCCCTGAGGGTCTTGGGGTATTCAAGATATCGACGGCCTCATCGAAAGTAGTATAAACATGGACCAATAAAAGCTTCGCCAAACAAACTCTAGGCTGACTAGTATGGAGGAGATAAACAAGATTATAGAAGTGGGACGAGATTTGGATAGATCGGGGGCAAAATACGTGTGTATAGAGCCAATATACTGGAAAAGCCACATGCTCCTCGTCAGAAACAGCTACCGATTGATCATCGACAAAATGCTTTTCGATGAAATGTCCATAAGCTTTCGATTCTCAATCGATTTTTAATCTTAGAGAGTCATATGAGGGGAAACCACCCTTAAAATATTTCTCCCCTGTGGGTTTTAGTCTGGTAATTGCAGCAACTTCAAAAAGAGTGGGAGAAAGGGGACCGCAGGGAAGCTCCATTGCATGTAGATCTTTATTCCATAAATGGACAGCAGACAGAAACATGGACATATCTAAGAATGATAGATCACATCGAGATAAATGTAGAAAATTGAAGATCCCTACATCCCTCCAATGATTCCCAAATTTGGTCTTTACTCGATCGAACCATCTAATGTATAAAGGCTTTTTGTGGGGAGGGCCCATTCGATATACTTTTGAAACAACATTTAGGAAATCAATTCGGACCTCAGATTTGTGAATAGGGGATTTACTTTCTGAGGGAAGGCTAAGGGAAGAAGAAAACGACCCTCCACAGTAGCGGATGAGACCACCAAACGCATAATCTATATTTTCAGCGGCGTAAGGAATAAGTACCTGAGTCTCGGCAATCTTCTGCGAAGCCTCCTCCATCAAAGGGACTGGAGCAAACTTTTTCCCATTAATATCTATCAAAGTTGAAGTTACTGAGGAAAGTGGTGGGACGGAGAGGTCGGAGGATTTGGAAGTCACCATTACAGATGGTGGAAAGGTTGAAGACGAAGAAGAGGTGCAACGGAGAAGAAGTAGATGAGGTTCGTGGTAAGAAACAAGGGTAAAAAAACTGATAAGAGTATTTAAAGAGGCCGACTAGGGTATTTGAAACGACGAATGTGAAGAGTGTAATTAATTTGTGGCGTGCGCATTGTGACAGTAGAGGTGATGTGATTTGATATTTGACATAAAGCAGAAAAAACCCTAAAAACCCCAGAGACCCTAAACCCTAAAAAGTTATGTCGAGCTTCAAGAACGTTTAAGAGCGGGAGTTATTTTTTGAAAGAATATAAAAATTGATACAAAGATTTATATTCTTTCAAGGGGGCATTTGTTAGTAAAAAATTGATACAAGGATCGAAAAAACAGAAGAGAGAAAATCGAAGATCATATGATTGGTTAAAAAGTTGATAAATCAGAAAGATGGTTGGAAGACACCCGGTGACCACGAGATAATATGAACATATAAATCGAGAATGGAAATCGAGAATCAGAAAAGAGAAAAACAAATCGATGAAAGTAATATAGTGTAAAATCAAGGTTAAAGGAAATCAGACTCGATAACTGGAATCGAGATCGAGGGAAACAATTATCATGCATATGGAACATAAGGAGTGGCTTTTCACATCGCGGCTAAGGTTAGAAATCGAGAAACGGTTATAATGCACATGGAACACGAAAGCGGTTTTCTAAACCGTAAACTAAGGTAAAAATTGAGGATCGTGCACATGGAACGTGGTGACAGTTTTTTAAACTGCTCTTAGGAGGTGATATTGAGGGATACCTATAAATAGAACGAAGCTTGAAGAAGAAGGGGAAATTGGCAGAGACAACAGAAGCACAAGTGAAAAGTCTACCAGAGAACGACGGATCATGAAGTTTCTGGCGATCTGGATTTCCATTCTCATTGACTGTTTTTACCGTTTTCTTTACTTTCCCTGATAACTTATTTACATTCATCAATTTAAGTTCCTGTATTTTAAATTTTTTGCCATTTACCTTCAACGCAATATAAGATCCTGCACTTAAATTTTCTTGCATTTACTGTTTTTGCAATTTCGATTTCCTGTTGTTTACATTTCTGCAATTTCAACTTCTTGCCATTTACATTTAATGCAATTTGAGGTTTCCGCATTTATATATATACATATATATATTTTGCAATTTGATATTCTGCACTGTTTCTTTGATGCGATATTTTCTTCTTTATTGTTGTCTTTACTTCGAGTTTCATAATACAAAATATCAAAAATAGTACTTTCGATTGTCAATCAAGCACACTAGGTTGCGTTGTTAGCATTTCTTGATACTATGAAAATTTTTATTCTCATACACGTTTTGATTGAAAATTGTCGCTAGCCTAAGTGAAAAGAATCTACGTGGTCGAAATTTGATTAGAACCTAAAATCGAAATCGATCAAATTTTCACCAGAAACAGAAGTATTGATTTTTTCATAAGTTATTTAGATTATTTGATACAAATTGTGTAATTTTTTTAATCAAATAATTAACGCACCGACTTAACTCTACTACTTATTAATTAAAAGAACTACAATTAATTATATAAATTTTACGCACATATTTAATTTGAGGACTAATTAAAATTAAATAATTCTTGAAATCATATCTCACGAAATGAAATGAAATTTGTAATAAAATATTATTTAATCAAATTTAAGCCAAAATCTAATATATAAGATGTTTTGTAATTATTTTTGAACTAATTAAAAAAAACTAATAAGATGTCATCTAATCAAAATTAAGCTTTTTTTTTTAAATAAATTCAAAATCAAAATGACTAGTAAACTTATTTATCATGTCATCTTCAAAAATTAGTCAAGTTTCTAGAATTAGTCCACTAAATATTTTATTACACCTCTTTAAACGCTTATGACTGGAGCAATTAAATTTGAATATGATTGAAAACACATATTTTCATATAGTTAGACAATTCATTCTGGTTTTGTTACTTAACATATTCTTATTCACTTAGTACAGGTTAAAGCCAAATTATACTTAACTTGTTGTGTATTAATGTATAAATCATATACACATTATTTTAAAAATATATAAGTAAACAATATTTTAAAATACATTATGTAGTTATTGATTTTTTTATAAAAAAAATGTTTATATCATAGAAGATTATTAGCATTAATAAAAGAAGTAAATGTGTAACTACCTGCGTAGAAAATTGTTATTCCAACTTATATAATACAATTAAAGATTGCTATTTTTTTTAAACTAGAGAGCATCTTTAATTGGAGTTGTTATCAAGAGTTGCATAAGAATAAAAATAAATATTTTATTATGGATCTCATTTCTGAGTTGTTTAAAAGTAGAAAAAGTTGTTTAAAATTAAAAGAAAGTAATTTAGATGAACAATTCTCTTTATATTTTAAACAATTCAATTATGAGATTCATAATAAAATATTTTATTTTATTCTTAAACAAATCTGGTTAAAAACTCCCTCTTATATGTGTATAAAAATGTATTTAATTAACATGATGAACTTTTAGTATTGAGTGTTAAATTTAATGAAGTGTATAGTAAACACAAAAGTAACGGATGAAATGATGCTTTCTTTTGTGACAATTTATTGACGTATTTATTATTATTGAAGAGAGATACAAAAATAGCAACAAGCTGTGGCAAGGAAATAAGAAATGAAGCACTCCTCATTGAAAGCCAACATAGCTGGAGCACACTGCAATTGGATAACACTCCATGCAAGACAATATAATATAAGTGTTTGAATAATGATAGTTCAATTGGATCAGTTGTAATGAGGATTGGCCAAAAGATAAGCTTCGATGGCCTTGAAAAGAACATCACTCTTGGCTTTGTCAGCTTTGAGCTCTTCATCCTTGGGTGGAGCATCTCCTTTGCTGTGGTATTTTATGCTCAGCTTCACAACAGACCCTCCGTTCGGTCCATCACTCAGTTTGGTGTCGATTGTGATCTTCTCTGCTGTGTCTGGCAAAGCAACACCTCCAACTATGCTGTAGCTGTATCCCAAGTTAGCCTCATCTATTCCTTCTATCTTGTGAAGCACAAACTTTGTCTCTCCATCTGTTCATTCACAATTAAAAATGAATTCGTTTGACATACTAGTATTGAATGTAGTTGGATAGATTCGCAGAGATTAAAGCAATAATGGAATAGAAATATATTTAGTGACTGACCCTCAAGGAAAGAGATCTTCTTGATGGTTCCGGGACCACCGTTGCCCTCAACGATTTCGGCACTCTTGAAGGAATGAACAGCCTTGGGGATGAGGTTATCAGCGTCTTTGACAAGAGCTTTGTAAAGGGTGGGAGGAGCCACGGGAGAAGTGGTTTGGTCCTCGAATGTGAAAACAGCCATGATAGATGGAATGAAGAGAATTTTGTTTGAGAAATGAAGGAGAAGACGTTGGTTGCTGTATCAGTGCAATAGAAATGCAATGTATTTATAAGCTTCTAGGTATACTCACTCATATATGAATTTTGAAGAGATAACAAACAATGTAAAAAGTAGTTTAACCTTACGTCATAAGATGATATTTGTCATGAACAACGCAGTATGTCCGCAAAACTCCTCCAACAAGAAAAAAAAAAAGCCTTTTCATTCTGACGCGTGTTTCTGTCTTCATTCTCAAATATTGTATTTTAATGCATTCCTATTCAAGGAAAAAGTTGCATAAAAAAACAAAATTCAAAGAAGAGTTTCCTCGACACAATCAATGAATTGATAAAGAAGTTAGGCATCACGTTCAACCATGGCGACTGCATGTTGTTGTATATGCGAAAATGGATATTTTTGCTTTGAATATTATTTAAATCTTATTTTAGTTTGTGCATCAAATAAATATAAATGTTTAATATTATATATTAAAATTTATAAATAAATATTTAATATATAAATTAATAACTAAAATTGATGATGAACAATATATTTAATTTATATTTACATTTAAGATTTATATTAATTTCTCATTTTTCTCCTCATAAAAACAAATATTTGATTTTTATCTTAAAAAATTGAAATAGTAGTTTTAGTCCTTGGATCTTGTGATGTGATATATGCACTTATTAATTTAAGGTATTTAATGAAATGTTAATGACACATATTAATATAAGGAAGCTCATTCAGTTCAATTCAACGATGACGCAGCATCTTATAGTTCAACGATGGCGACTGTTTGCAGGAATGAGATATTTTTACATTGGAATTATTATTTAACAATATAAGAAACGAATCTTTATAATCGTTAATAATTTATATGACATATTTTGTATCACACTAATCTTTTGCCGTGAAATATTTATGGGACTGGATATTTTTATATTGTAAGAGCTAACAAAAGCTGGGGAAGAGTACGAGGTAACAAAATTTCGCATTGAAGAGAAACCCCTTGAATGAGGAAGATGTTTTCTTGTTTGATTCCAATGGGAGAGGACAAAATTTAAAAATTAAATTATCATAATCTAACAAAAAAGATTAACATAAATTTTAACGAAAGCTGTGAGATAATATAATTTCAAATAAAAGTTTTAGAATGATTTTGTTATGTATTTATTGTTATTTTGACTGAATATAAATTTTACCATTTATTGAATAATAAATATTTTTATATATAATTATTATTTTATTTATTCAAAGCCTCTTAAACCTAAATTAGATTATTCTTTTATTTTTTGAGAAAAATCAATTTAAAAGTAAATATCTTTTTGAGAAGAGAGTTTTGTATTTTTTTTATTATTGTAGAAAATCCTCACCTTCTATTTAATTATTTTTATGGATATGCTGTGAATGTTATTACTTTCACAAAATGTAATTTATGGATTTACTTTTATATCTATTATTTTCTTTATTTTACTACTTTTATTAAAAAACATAAAATTATAAAGACTCACAATTATAATTATTTATATTATACTTATGTGATTTTAGTTTTAATTTTTAATTTATTAGTTGAGTTTTAAGTATCAGATTACTGATGGATATAATTATTCTAGATCTGGACTAATAATTTTGGAACTAAAATAATATGTGAATCCGTGTGAATCATATTTATTATGTAACGTGTGAATCATACTTATGCCAATTTTTTTATTTAATATATTGTTTTAATTTTTTTCTTCTCTTTATTATATATTATTTGATTGTTTTATTTTAATATTTATAAGAAAAAGTTAAATTGATTCAGAATTATACATATATATATATATATATATATATATTATTTGAAATGTTATAAAATTTAAATATTTAAAAATAATTGAGGAATTAAAATTACACGATTACAGTGTGATGACAAAAATGATGCAGTGACAGAATTTAAAACAATCGCAGCCAGAACAAATTTAGGACTTTTCAATGCTTTGTAGACGCCATTCTAGAAATTGTTGGACAGTAAATTGAACTTTATGTTCGGATAACGAGTTTAGAGAAAGTAGTCGTTACCGAATAGTATTAATTTATATAAAATATTTTTTAATTTTTCTCTGCATAGAAAGAATGTTATTGGTAAACAAAGAACCGACGATGGCCCAACAACGTTGAATGAGTGTGTCAGCAGCTTCACACTTTGATATGTTATGGAAAACACAGAGAGTGACACAAAGTTAGTGGTTATAAATAGAGGCCACTTCCTGTGCAAAATACTCACACAGTAATAGCCTTCTCCTTCTATTCTCATATCACATATTCTTCCATTTCATTCCATCTCATTCGGAATCCACCCAGAATGGCTGTTTTCACATTCGAAGACCAAACCACTTCTCCCGTTGCCCCTGCTACCCTTTACAAAGCTCTTGTCAAAGACGCCGATGACATCGTCCCAAAGGCTGTAGACTCCTTCAAGAGTGTTGAGGTCGTTGAGGGCAACGGTGGCCCCGGAACCATCAAGAAGATCTCTTTCGTTGAGGGTGAGTCACTAAACATATTTCTATTCCATTATTGCTTTAATCACTACCAATCTATCCATCTACATCCAATACTAGTATATAGCATGTAAAATGAATTCATGATTAATTGTGAATGAACAGATGGAGAGACAAAGTTTGTGCTTCACAAGATAGAAGGAATAGATGAGGCTAACTTGGGATACAGCTACAGCATAGTTGGAGGTGTTGCTTTGCCAGACACAGCAGAGAAGATCACAATCGACACCAAACTGAGCGATGGCCCCAACGGAGGGTCTGTTGTGAAGCTGAGCATAAAATACCACAGCAAAGGAGATGCTCCACCCAACGAAGAGGAGCTCAAAACTGGCAAAGCCAAGAGTGATGCTCTTTTCAGGGTCATCGAGGCTTACCTTTTGGCCAATGCTTGATCACAACTCAATTATTAGCCACGTCTTTGCTTACATTATATAAAAGAGTTTTCTTTTGTGGACTGTGTGCTCAAGTTAAGCTGGTTTCCAATGTATTTGAGTGTTTCCTTTCTTATTTTTATTTTGTTGAATTGTGAAAGAGACTTTCAATCTATTTGTATCTCAGTTCATCGATAAATTATAATAAAACAGAGCACCATTTGATACTTTTTTTTTTTTAACCATAGCGAGTTTGTAGATTTTAAAAGCAATGTTATATACTCATCTCCATACACTATAGTGTGTTTGAAGCAATTCTAAAATTTAAATATTTGATATGTAACATTGATATTGTAGCACCTATATGATTTATAAATTGATTAAAAATAATTATAAATATAATTCAATTTACTTTCATAAAAAAAAATTAATAAATATATGTGATTTTTTGTCCAAGTTCTTATAAAAATATATATTAATATAAAACAATTTTGAAATGGAAGGGTTAAAATGGAAATTTCATGTATATTGTACATGAATGATAGCATAAACTTGTTTCTTGCCAATTTATGCTTTTGAAATAAATATGACGATTGACTTTGACCACTCTATTCCAATTTATTACATGTAAAAAAAAATGGTAGTCTCAAATTGTTTGTCAAATTATAAATAAAATTGTTAGAATTTATTTGGAAATATTAACTAAATAAACGAGTTAATATGAATTATGGAATAAGATTCATGTTTATGAGCAAATTAGAAGTTTCCATCTTAGAAAAACTCCTTATATGAACAATATTTTTACTTGATAAATTATTTTGGAATATTCACATGATAAAAATAAATTTTGGATAGAAATTATAAAGAATAAATACCTTATTCAAAAATTTATTTTAAAATCTATCAATGGTTTTATACATGAATATCTATTTTTAAAGCTAAATATATGTTTAAGGATGAATTTTCTGTAAGAATTGAAGATAAAAAAAGTTTTTTGTTTGATTGTGAAGTAGTCTGGTCTAGACTTATTAAGTGTAAAAGTTGATTATGTTGGTAAATGATAATATTTAAGACATCATTATGTGAGATAACGTGGATGTTATTTATATTGTTAAAGTTGATTTGTGATGATAATAATAAAATAAGATTTGGTTTTGTTTGTCTCATACATTACATAGGAAAAGTGATATTTTGCATTCATGGATCTCGAATCTCAATTAACATGTAAGTACAACTTGTTTGTGACGTTAATGAATGATTTTAATATAATTTGAGATAAAGATTTATATGTATCTATTGTGACTTTTTAAAAGTTTTACAACTTATTAAACAATAAATATTGTTGATGGGAAAAATCGATATATGAATAAAAAAAATGGGTAGAAGAAAATTTGATGATCATATGTTGGGGAATATGTGAATCGAAAGTGGATAGAAGAAATTCGATGACCATGTGTTGGAAAAAATTGAGATATACATCGAAAATGGATAGAAGAAATTCGATGATCATGTGTTGGGGAAAATCGAGATATGCATCGAAAATGATAGAAGAAATTCGATGGTCATGTGCTGGGGAAATCGAGATGTGAATCGAAAAGTGGATAAATCGAAAGTGGATAGAGGAAATTCAATGAATATGATTGGGAGTAAAAAAAAAATAAATCGATAATAAGTATTGAGTGTGAAGTTAAGTTTGAGGGAAGTCAGAAGCAATTCAAAGTACTTAATAAGTATTGTGCACATGGGAACATGGGTAGCGGTTTCTAAACTGTTCTTAGGTTGTCAGAAGCAGTTTAAAGTACTCGATGACTGAGGTCGAAATCGAGGGAAGCAGTTATCTCGTGCATGAGAACATGGGGTAGCGGTTTCTAAACCGTTCTTAGGTGGTTATGATGAAGAAGACTATAAATAGAACGAAGCGTGAAGAAGGAAGAGAAATTTTCAGAGGTATTAGAAATCTATTTTACAAGTCTACTGGAGAACGACGAATCATGGAGTATCTGACAATCTGGATTTCCACTTTTATCGACTTTTGTTACCGCTTTCTTTACTTTTCCTGGTAATTTAT